AGTATCAAAATTCAATTCAAATTCTACAAATTGATTGCAGATCTAAATATGAAAAATAAGGACTAATGAGTAGCATGGTAGTTGAAGCACTGGAATCCCATAGTGCCAATCGTGGTTCAAGCCCTGAATCCAGCAGCCTAAAAATCACACCAGATGCATGTTCATGTGTACCCAGAATCTTGAAAGGAGAATAAAGAGAAGGGATTGTGGGGTGGCCATCCTGCCTGGGGGTTAGTTTCTTACTTTCCCTCTGTTTAGCTCTGTCTCTGGAGAGTGTATGTACCCTATGGCAATAAATAAATAAATACATGTGAAAGATAAAAAAAAAATTTTTTTTTTTTTTTTTTGGAGAGATTTTCACTGTAGGGCGCGTGCGCTCGCCAGACAGACAGAGAGAGACATAGAGACAGAAAGCGAGAAATCACCCCCCAGGGGGGATGGTCACGCCGCAATCCCTTCTCCTCCATTCTCCTCTCGGGATCTTGGGCACGCACGCACACGCGCCTGGCGTGAGTTTTTTAAGCCACCGGGTCCGGGACACGAACCGCGGTCGACTACATGGGAGTCCAGCGACATAGCCATTACGCTAACTGCTGGTTCCCAAAGATAAAAAAAAAATTTTTGAAAATCAGATTTTGGGGATATATAAGAATTCAAATGGAATAATCATAAAATTAACTGAAAATCTGGCCTATATTAAAATTAAGAACATTGGTTCATCAAAAACAGAATAAAGAGATGAAAAGTCAAGCTAAAGGGAAGAGATATTGAATGTATTAATGAGTACATATCCAATCAAGACTTATATCTAAAACATACACAGAATTTTTACATATTAACAAGATAATGATAGATAATCCTAATAAAAATGGCAAATCCTTCGTATACATATTTAACAACAACAACAAAAAAGATAAAAAAGATGATATAAAATGGTCAACTTCTCATCAGGGAAATGAAAATTCTAATATATTTTGATATACAGAACAGAAAAGTATGCTTGCGAATCACTTATCTAATGAAGAAATTTGTATCTAGAATATATTTTAAAACTCCTGCAACTCAGTAATAAAAAGGGAAATACCCTTATTGGCATTAAATAGGCAAAAGATGTGAAGACATTTCTCCAAAGAAGATATACCAATGAATACCCAGTAGGCATATGAAAATAACCAATATGCACATGAAAAGATGGTCAACATCATTAGCCATCTCAGAAATGCATATTTTTTAAAAGTTTGCTTTTTTATTTGCCTTAGGGTCCGAACACTCACCAGAGACAGAGAGAGAATGTGAGAAATCACCCCTTCCTCCCCAGGGAGATGGCTACATCACAATCACTTCTCCATTCTTCTCTTGGGATTTTGGGTATACATGCACTTGCGCCTTACATAATTTTCAAGCCGCCAGGTCCAGGATTCAAATCACCATCAGCCATATGGGAATCCAATACACCTCAACCATCTAAACCAAGTGCTGGCCCCCAGAAATGTAAATTTAAAAAATATATTTCATACTCCCTTAGAGGGCTAGGATTCTGCCACCCTGACAGGAGAATGAAGAAGGGATTGCAACATGGCCATTCCCCTTGAGGGGTACACATTCTTCTTCTCTTTCTCTATGTTGTCTAACTCTGTCTCTCTCTGGTGAGCATCCCGTAGCAATTAAAAAAATCTGGAGTGCTAGAATTAAAAAGACATATAAAACAAATATTAGCAAGGCTGTGGAAAGATTAGAACCCTCAAATACTATATATGGAAATGTAAAATGGTTAATTCACTTTGGAAAACAATGGCAGTTCCTCACAGGCCCAGCAAATTCACATCTAAGCATCTAACTCAAGAGAAATAAAACCAGGTCCATGAAAAACTATATTCATAAATATTAATAACAGAATTGTTTATAACAGTCAAATGAAGGAAAATAAATGTCTATAGACTAATGTCTACATCGATAATGTGGTATTGATGGGGTACATACAAGCAATTAAATATTATTCAGCCACAAAGAGGAATAAAGTTCTTAGACATGCAATAACATGGATGAACCTTGAAAAAAATATGTTAAACAAAATATATCAAAAACAAAATGAAAATACTGTATAATTCTACTTACATAAAGTATCTGTAATAGCAAACTCATAGAAACAAAAATACAGGTACCTTTTGGGTAGGATATAGGCAAGATACTTGGTCATAAAACAACCACATCATGGAATAAAAAAAATAAATGCCCAATAAATAAATATAGAAATATATCCAATCTTATTTAAAAAATCTAAAAAAGCAGTACAAATTAAAATCACGATACAATCACACCTGCTAAACTGGATTTATAATTTTAACAATGTTAATTTTTAAAAAGGGAAAGAACTTAATATATCTTTATATTTGAAGACTTTAAAATATTTCTAATTTTAACCTAACTTTTAAGTGTAAAAGAACGTTCACTTTAGAGTTATGTTGACAAATCTTCAGTATATAAATGAAGAGTATTAAAGAAGTCCTGTCATGCACAGTAAACTGACAAAGGCATTTCATATTATAATTCATATAAAATGTAGCCTATCATCTATCCTCTACACTCACCTAAATTCTTTCTTTTTTTTTTTTCTTTTTTTGGAGATGTTTTTGCTATAGGGTGCATGCACTTGCCAGAAAGACAGAGAGAGAGAGACAGAAAGTGAGAAATCTCCACCCTGGAGGGGATGGCCACACCGCAATCCCTTCTCCTCCATTCTCCTCTCAGGACCTTGGGCACACACACACACACACACACACACACATACATGCAGCTGGCACGAGTTTAAGCCACTGGGTCTGGGACTGTGGTTGACTACATGGTAGTCCAGCGACATTGCCATTACGCCAACTGCTGGTCCTTAAACTTACCTAAATTCTTAAGACTTTAGATATTGAAAAATAATATTCTATCACAAAAACAAAACAAAACAAAACAAAAAAACAACCAGGGCCAGTTGGTGGTAACGTAACTGGATCCACATAAGGAAGGTCCTAGGTGAGCATTCTAGGACCATCTGGCACATGTGTCCATGATCTGGATTGGTGAGAATGGGGTTAATTACACTGTGAAGACATTGTTGGGGGTTCCATGGATCTGTTGGGGATGCCTGCCTGTTTTTTTCTTTCTCTTTCTTTTTCATGGAAGAAACAAACTTTTTAAAAACTATTAAAAAATACAGATGCACACACACACAAAATACTACTAAGACTGATCTACTTAATAATCTACTACTTCTCAATCACCAATCCTTAAAGAAAGAACAGCACTTACTCCAAAGAAAAGACAGGTTACAAGTATTTCAAATGTAAAACAATTGGAAGCCAGGACCAGATGGCAGAGCAGTTACATTGCTGGACTCTCACATGGCTGCAAGATCTGGAGTTTCAGACCAGTTCCTTGAAACTCATGTCAGGCGCCTGTGCCCAAGATTCCAGGAGAATAGAGGAGAAGTGACTGCACTGTGGCCAACCCCCGTAGGGGATGACTTCTCACCTTCCCTCTCACTCTCTCTCTCTCTCTCTCTCTCTCTGGCGAGCACTCACATCCTAAAGCAAAAATCTCATTAAAAAAAAAATTGGAAGTAAAATAAAAACTACTTCCAATAGTCTTATCAATTTTCTTTCCCAAGATAAAAAGAGGTTTATTCCTCTTAGCTGTACTACTATTATTTCTCTTTTTATGGAAAGGTTTTTGCTATAGGGCGTGTGAGCTCGCCAGAAAGACAGAGAGAGACAGAAAGTGAGAAATCACCCCATAGGAGGTATGGTCACGCCGCAATCCCTTCTCCTCCATTCTCCTCTTGGAATCTTGGGCACACAAGCACACGTGCCTGGAGTGAGTTTAAGCCACCAGGTCTGGGACTCGAACCACAGTCAACTACATGGGAGTTCAGCAACATAGCCATTATGCTAACTGCTGGTCCCTGTACTATTATTTCTCAAATAGTTTTATTTTCAGGCCTGCTACATATTAAAGAGTTAACTGATAAAAAGAGGTTTAAGAGTGACAATGAGGATATTCTTTATAAACATTTTTATTCATAAAATAGAACTTTAACTTTTAAAAGGACTCACATGATAGAACCAAAATCTTATGAGACCACAATCAGAAATTTAGCATTCATTACCATGAAAGTACACTTATGACTAAAGCAAAGGAGGTAATTTTACAAAAAGAAACAAAACGTACACAAAATGGGAAAAACTAAACCCATCTAATTTGTAGTGTTTATGCTCTGAAATAATTAGAAAAAGCTACTTAAAATACATTAAAAGATGGGACCCAGCAGTTAGCGCAGTGGCTATGTCGCTGGACTCCCACGTAGTCGACCGCGGTTCGTGTCCCGGACCCGGTGGCTTAAAACTCACACCGGGCGCGTGTGCGTGCGTGCCCAAGATCCCGAGAGGAGAATGGAGGAGAAGGGATTGCTGCGTGACCATCCCACCTTGGGGGGTGATTTCTCGCTTTCTGTCTCTATGTCTCTCTGTCTCTCTGGTGAGCGTACGTGCCCTATAGCGAAAAAACCTCTCAAAAAAAAAAAACATTAAAAGCAGCAACAATGAGCACAAAACTGTAGTTTTACTACAAAATAAAATTTTGACATTATATTGAAATAATTGAAAAACAGAAAACACTAAAATGTAAACCTATTTAAGCTAAACAAACAATAAGACTTTTAAGAAACCTATTTTGAATGTAAAATAGCAGAGGAACAACTAGAAAAAAATAATACTTATGATTTGAATGAGAAGTAGATGAGAGAATTTTTCTCTAATGTCTACTTTCACTCAAAACGCATATGTACACTAATACCCAGCTGAATATACTTATATCTAAGCGTATAATGGAAAAATATTTGATCATTAGCAAACAATATGATCATTGCAATGGGAAATGAAACTACAGACAAAAGACAGTGATTATCAGCTGTCCAACAGTGAAGGCTATACAAAGAACAATCAATACATGTCACTTACCTTTTCAAGTAAGTAGCCAATGACTAAAAAGCCTTTTCCTCCCAGCATCTGTTCTTGCATGGCTACTGAACTTTTAAATAGTCAGGAACGCCAAAAGAGTAGCACTGCATGTAAAGTACAGATAATTTCATTATGCAATCATCAACCATTTATTATAACCACCGTTTTCCTATTTGATATTTTGTTATGCCAAAAGATAACAACCATATATCAAATCTAACCTCTATTTTGCTGACAATGAGTATTATATATTATATAAGAATGTTTCTTTCCTTAAGCATGAAAAAAATTAGTTTTATCTTTTTCAAATCAAATATAATAAACTGAATCATAACAGTATAGTTTTTTTAAAGTCCAAGGTAAAATATCAAAGTTTATTTAAATAAATATGTATATTTCCTGCTTCGTGTAAATCTAATATAAGAAACACAAGCATGAGTCACTTTTCTGTAATAAAGACTGTATTATAATATTATTTTGAATACCAAGCTACCATAGAGGCTTTAAATTATGTACACGATATTACTTCGGAAGAAAACACCTATTTTCACATGAACTTTTTACTTAGACCTATTTTCAAAAACATTTTGTTCAAAAAATACAGGGAAATATAAAACATGTCACATATGTCCATGTATGCCCTCAGAAAAGCACGTGAGAACACATAAGAGAAATGAGTTATGTAAGACTGAAATAAAAAGTGGCAACTAACAACACAATGTATACACAAACACACAAAGGTACGCAGATATATGGCAGACAGAGATTAAACACCTGATATGTCTGCTGAATTCATGAATGAATGAAGAAACAAAATAAATTATTGCATTGAATTAAGTTTTGATAGTGTATTACTTCACAAATTCACATATAAGAATTTTAAACCAGCAGCACTGATGAAATACTCCTGACAATGAAAATACATATTCCTCAATTTCTTGTGTTTCATGTAGTTTATAATAAGTAGTATAAAGTAGAATTATCAGGAATTAAATAATATCTATTTATAACATAGATTATCTATTTATATCCACAAGAAAGAGTAAAACCATGAATTTCTAAACATATTTTAAATGTCTAAAAATTCATTCTTACAAGTATTTTAAAAAAATTGATCCATGTGGAAAACTTGAAAACTATTAAAATCCAAAAGAAATTTTCAGTTATTCTAATCTGAATTAATTCAGCTCTTCTGGTTTCAAATGAAATATCTTTCGCTGATGATGTGGCTGTATTTGTTCATATCATAAATGTTCTCATATTAGAACCAATAGCAAAATTATCATTATTATAAAAATTGCTAGTTTAATGGACTACATAATATTAGCTAGAAAAAATATAGTATACAGAAATAAAGTCCTTCACTACAGGAAATTATAATTCAATTATATTAACTGGCCCAATAGCCTTAAGTCACAAAAACATGTAAACTAATATTACAAATCAATGATATTCTTTTACTCTATCCTTAAGTAAAAGGTAGACCTTTACAAGAAAAAGTACTACTACCAAGGAATCCCCTGGGATTTTTTAAAAGTTTCCATTAAGAAGCACAGCTATTAAGCAATCTAGCCCATTTTAAGTCAATTGAATAAATAGTCAAGGTAAAACTTCAGAAATAATTATTTAAATATTATATTACATATAACACTTCTGCCTAAGTATTCTAAAAGAAAAAAGAAAACTACTGCATAGATATAAAATTTCCTTATCTGTTCAGGGAATTCATACCTACATCTGAGTTAGTGATTTATGGGGAAAGTGGATTTCTAAACATCAGCACCCTGAAAATTAAAAACTACAGATATCTCACTGTGGTCCCTACAGTCCAAGAAGAAAAGGCAAAAAGTATTTCTTATAATAAATCACCCTCCTAAAATGACAAGGATGCCATGGATTTACTTATTCTTTTATGTCAAAAGGATTACTCATTCTCAAGCATCTAATAAATTAACTCAGATCTCTAAATACAGTAGAGTTCCAGCCTAAAAATAGAAATATCTATTATTATCTATTATTATCCCAGAATCTTAGCACATGACTGTGCTACCCATAAAGTGTTAATTCACTTCAATATTAACCATGACCACAATTGAAAAGTCACATGTATTCACTAAAAAAAAAAAGTGTTTTCATTTATACCTAAAACCCAATGCAATTGCAATACCATATCTTTTTAAAATATCTTTAAAATAAGGTATATTTGACATGGTGGACGTAATAGTAAATAGATGGCCATCTTCGAAGAGGTACATTTTCAAACATAATTTAACAAACTTACCAGTAACTAAAATGCATCGGATTGCTGCAGGGCTCACAATATACTTGCAAAATTCTGTGTACTGCCATACAAAATTTCTCTCCATTCTTGCCTATTTCCAACTCCCCTAGATACAAAGGCAAATATAAAGGATACTTCAGCCCATTCCTATATCTCCTACATACCACTTCCTGTCTAGAACACAGTTCATCTGTAGAGGATCTAAATATATAGGATAAACCAAAAAAGCAAGTATCTGTGTCAGCTGAAACATACAACACAGAACATTCTCTTGAAAAGTATAGCAATACCTACGAGTAGATGTTCAGAATCTTTTACTTGATAAATAAAAAGTGTACTGATGATATAATATTGCTAAACTTTCCAACAGACAAACTATAACACATCGCGTTCTGTACCACTTCTACTTTAAGAATGATTAAGGGTTTTTAATCCTGTCTCCTCCTTATAAAAATGACACTAATGATCTATTGTGCGTTTCTTAAAAATAATTACCATCTTTCAATTATCAATCAGCTTCAATTAAGGAAATAATATTTATGTCAAGTATCAAGCTGTAAAGAGCTAGCACTTAGCAAAAAAATAAAGAAAAGAAAAATGAAAGAAATAATATAATACATCTAAGTGACTTAGCATATTATTTCTCCAGAGCTTTCTGGTCCATATTATTAGGAATATCAACAGTCTTGGCCCACAAATACCTGAGAATATTAGTAATTATATATCTACATAACTAATTTGTTTCTAATAAAAACATAAATGCTACCTTTAATTTCCTTAGAATTTATATAAAAATAGATTTTCACTTGATTTTACTATAACTCAATCCATTTCAACGTGTCCATTATTTAAGTTTCTAAAATAAGTCATGTAATGTGGCCCAAAAGTTTTATTATCTTTGAGCTAACTTTTATTACTTAAAGATGCTCTATATCCTAAAGATACAGTTTATAACCTAAAAGATTAACAAAATATATAAACTATGTTCACTTAAAAGGCAGCCCTTAGAAGACAGAAACTAGCTGTTACATTGACTTTGTACTGAAACAAGCGGAATACCATAGCTAGAATAAAAAGCCTCTTAAGAGGAATGGGACTAACTAATGTAAAAATTAAATATTCTGCCTGAGATCCAATACCTCCTCCCACCTTTAAAAGCATGTGTTTAATCTCTTTAGAAATATTAATGGCAAAGTAATGGTCAGAATAAACTCAGACGTAAATGAAGTTTCAAAGAAGATTTAAGGTCTAAATAAAAGGGGGAAATATTTGACACTTTCTGGAGGTTTCATCTCTTAAGCAGCCAAATTCAATATTGAACTCTTTCAAAAGATGGTTAAAATCATGTAAAATATCTAATACTATAATCTTTATTCTACTTCACTACAAAATTCTTCCTAAACAAGTGAGTATAGTAGAAATAAACCTGTAAACAAAATCGACTCAACTATCCAAGATAATTTCACACCCCTCAAATCTCAAAGTTAGAATATAACATCCTTTAGAGTAAAAAATTGAAAGGTTTAAACCAAAAGTTTCTAACTTCAATTCATCCAGCAATCACTGTTAGACAATGTATTCCTAACAATGTGCTCTCAGAGAAGACCACTGTCTATATACTCAATGAAGCCTGACACACACACAGGCACATTCATCAGTGCAGACATCAAGTGATGTTACAAGACATGCCAAAGTAAGTAAAATACATTCATCTGCAGAGTCAAATAAGAAAAATAGTGAAATGCAACAGAGTAAAATGCAGGACAGATGGAATACAGAGAGCGACACATGGAATCACTAATCACTGTCCCTCGTCATAAAATACCTCCTTAGTAATTCCTACCTTTTCCTTCAGCCTAATAAAGAAGCAGACAAAATTTATAAATTTAATTACTACTACTGTCATGGATATTTAAGAGTATTCTTTAGAGGCTCTACTTACAGTTAAGCTATTATACATTTATAATGCCCTATGTTTTGTAACAGATTTAGATTTTTATATTTTATCAGCCTTATTTCAGAAAAATACACTATAGTGTAAATAAAGAATAAAAAATTGTTATCAACTGGGGACCAGCAGTTAGCGTAATAGCTATGTTGCTGGACTCCCATATAGTCGACTGCGGTTCGCGTCCCGGACCCGGTGGCTTAAAACTCACGGCGGGGCTTTCTCTTGCGCGGCCATCGCCAGAGCTGCAGCGGCCAAAATGAAGTTCAATCCTTTCCTAACTTCTGACCAAAGCAAGAACCGTAAAAGGCATTTCAATGCACCTTCCCACATCCGAAGGAAAATAATGTCTTCCCCCCTTTCCAAAGAGCTGAGGCAGAAGTACAACGTGCGATCTATGCCCATCCGAAAGGATGATGAAGTTCAGGTTGTGCGAGGACACTATAAAGGTCAGCAAATTGGCAAAGTGGTCCAAGTTTACAGGAAGAAATATGTCATTTATATTGAGCGGGTGCAGCGGGAAAGGCTAATGGCACAACGGTCCACGTGGGGATTCACCTCAGCAAGGTGGTTAGCACCAGACTAAAGCTGGACAAAGACCGCAAAAAGATCCTTGAACGGAAAGCCAAGTCTCGCCAAGTAGGAAAGGAAAAGGGCAAATATAAGGAAGAAACGATTGAGAAGATGCAGGAGTAAAATAATCTTATATGCCGTTCTTATTAAAAACTGCTAAAATGAAAAAAAAAAAAAAACCTCACGGTGGGCGCGTGTGCATGCGTGCCCAAGATCCCGAGAGGAGAATGGAGGAGAAGGGATTGCAGCGTGACCATCCCCCCTGGGGGGTGATTTCTCGCTTTCTGTCTTTCTGTCTCTCT